GAGGCCACAAGGGGGAGAGCGCGGGGCTCTCCCAAGGAGGAGGCTGCATCCTCGCTGCACAGGGAGCTTCCCGGAGCGTGGGTGGGGGTGGAAACCCGCGGGGAGCTGAGGTCTCCTCGGCCCAGTCCCTGAGGCACTGGGAGACGCGGGGTGAGCACGGTTCTTGGCTCGTGGGGTGCTCGTGGCCCAAAGAGCTGAAAGCAGCTCTTGAAAGCTTAGAGTGACACCCGAGGCAGGCTAAGGTCCCCTGGCATAAGGGGCCCTCCAACTAAGGGTAGGTACCCCTTTCTGCTTTCAGGGCTCCTCCAGTGACCTCCTGAAGCCTCAGCTTCCATCTTATTCCTTAGATCCCATTCTTTCACAACGCCCGGAAGGAGCCCGTGCTCGGAACCTACCACCAGCTTCTCATTAGCCCTGAAATAAAATCCCTATTCCTCACCACGGCTCTATGCGATGAGCCTGGCCTCCCTCTCTAAGGTCCCTCTGGGCCTACTGGCACAGGCCATCAGGGAACAAGGGCGGCTGTTACCAAGGTCTTCAGAAAGCCAGAGCTTCATCTGCTTTTAGGACTAATTTCAAATTTCTCTCCCTGGGCCACCTTTTTAAATTTGTATTTTAATAGAGATGAGGTCTTGCCATGTTGCCCAGGCTTGTCTGGAATTCCTGGGCTCGAGTGATCCTCCTGCCTCAGCCTCCTAAAGTGCTGGGACTACAGGTGTGAGCCACTGCACCCGACCCTCAGGCCATCGACCAATGAAGCCCTGTCAGCATCATATGGCCCCGTTTTCTTCGCAGCACCTGTCCTTCTCTGAAGTAATCTTGTTTGTGTGTCTATTTTTTGTTGCATTATGATGTCTTCTTCGCTAGGATGTGGACTCCGTAGGGCAGGTCTTTTGACCATCTGCAGTCCCCAGCACCAAGAGTAAAATAAATATTTACAAATTAGCCAATGGAGAGAGGGATTGGAATTAAGTGGGACCAATCCGGGAAGACTTCCCGGGACCGGTTTAAGCACAGGGCACATAGGGTGGGTGGCAAAGGAAGAAACCGGACCTGCTGGTGGATGAGGCTGCTTTCTTGGGTGTGACAACACTGACGAAGGGAGGAAGGGATGGGACAGGGATGCCCTGAGTTCTGCCCCCTAATACTCCACACCCCAGCCCCGTTTCTCTCCCAGGATTCCTGGCTTTCCACCTAGTGTTCACTAAGGCCCCGAAAACCCAGTGTCTATCTCTTGGAATCCCCACTCCCTCCCTAGACCCAAGAGGCTGGCTGCCAGGCCCTAGGTGTGTCTCACAATGGGGCAATCGGGGCTGGGCCTCGCCTCCTACCCACACTCAAGTTCTGGCAGATTTGGGGTGGGGTGGGGGCAGGCCTGTGGGAAAACAGGGGTTTACTGGTATTCTCAGTGAGGGAGCTAGGAAGTCAAGCCGACCTGGAGATGTGATGTTGCAGAGCCAGTCTCTGCGGCTGCCTGACTCCATTAACCCTCCATGATTCATCCAAAGCTGAGCTGCATATCGGGCGGATTTTCCTGCCCCCCATCACCTGAACTGCTGGGACCCTCTCCCAGGGAGAACCCCCTGCCCCTCTCTTCCCTCATCTGCCCAACCCAACTCAGGGACACAAACTACTGAGGCAGCGTAGATGGAGGAAGTGGGAGGAGTTTGGAGAGAGACACTGGCTTCTAAAGCTGGCACAGCAAAAATCATGTCAGGATGGAACTAGCTGGGCGCTGTGGCTCACTCCTGTGATCCCAGCACTTTGGGAGGCCGAGGCGGGGGGATCACTTGAGGTTAGGAGTTTGAGACCATCCTGGCCAACATGGTGAAACCCCATCTCTGCTAAAAATACAAAAATTAACTGGGTGTGGTGGTGCATGCCTATAACCCCAGCTACTTGGGAGACTGAGACAGGAAATCACTTAAACCTGGGAGGTGGAGGTTGCAGTGAGCCGAGATCATACCACTGCACTCCAGACTGGGTGACAGAGCAAGACTCTGTCTCAAAAACAAACAAATAAACAAACGAAACCCCCAAAAATTACCCTCAGAAAATCTACCAGGAAGGTGCCAAGTGGAAACAAATCATGTCCAACACAGACAGCTTTTTTGTCCAGCATAGGAACAGAATTTCTTTGGTTGAGCACACAAAGTAGTTGGCCTGTGTTTAGAGGCACGATACAAAAAGTACCTATTTTTAAACACCAGAATGTTGAACACTAGAGCCAGAACCAGAACCCTGTCTGTAAACACATACTTGGTGTGGCAAGATGATTATACTACTGGAGGCATCTGGAAACTGAGGCAATCGCAGGTTCATTCGGGGGCTGATGCCACTAACCTTAGTTCTTCATTTTCATTTTGTCAAGAGCGTGCAGTTTGATTCATTTAAATGAATGCACCTATGCTTGGGGCTGCCATGTCTGATGGTGCAGGCTATGCATCACAAAGGACACTGTAAAGGGGACCTGCGGGGGTTTGATGCAGTCTGCCCCCCACTCTCAGGGCATAGGTCTAATTCACACAGGGTGTTACATGGGCTGTAACATAGCCTGTCCAGCATAGAGAGGAGCGATACAGGTTCAGGCTCTGGAAGCCCAGCGTTCTAATGCTGGTCCTGTCACATTCTGGCTGTGTGACCTGGGGTGAGTTATTTAACCTCTATATGCTGTGGTTCCCCCGCCTATAGAATGTGAGTAATTATAGTACCCACCTGTGTCAGAATCACTGGGACATTTCAATGAGATCACGTATTTGGAGCACTTAGTACAAGGTCTGCCACATAGTAAGCCTCAGTAACTCAGCTAACATTCTTATCAGTACCATGAGGTGGAGAGGAAAATATAGGAAGGGCAATTTATTGTCAAAGGACAATCACAGACTAGACTCTAGAGCCAAACAGAAGATGGCGTTGGATAGTTTGATGCTCTAGATCCCCTAGGCCAAAACTGGCGCTGGGTCCCCCCACCCATCTGTCAAATCATAGCTGATTATACATATCAGTTCTCTTTTGTCTGATTCTTCACTCCTGGAGTTGACCCTATGCGGATGGAACGGTGGCTAATGAGCTTTTTCAGTCACTGTTCGTTAATTAGTAAGATTCATTACACAGAACTTGTGTCCTCCAGAAAACCTTTTGGGAGGTGCTCCACCCACCTCAGTCATTCTCTAACTCGTCCCTTCCAGGAGCACCAACTCTGTGACATCTACTGCTGCATGGCTATCTGGGCTAAGGGAGTGTTCTCCAAGCAGTGTTCCCTCAGGTAGCTCTGCAAAGGGGAAGCTGCCGTTATAAAATCAGAGGAGGCTGAAGAGGGGCAGGATGTCTGGGACTGGGGTGTGGGGGCAGCGTGAGGATGGAGCCGAGGTGCCCAACTGCTGGGGTTCGTAAAGGTTATTCATGGACACCGTCCAGCCCTCCCACCCAGGGCCGCCGCCACCGTGCATTGCATCAGGTTGGGTTGATAAGGTCTTGCTTTGCCCTGGCAGCGCCAGTCCATGTCCCAGCCCCTCCCTGTTACAGCAGGAGCCAGTTTGGCCACCTGAACTTCACTGTGGAGAAGGCTGCTTGACTAGGACGTTGTGTCACAGTGAGGTGATCCAACTTCCAAACCGGGGGTGGGGCGAGGTGGGTAGGGCAATGACATGGAGTGGGCACTCCAAGTTCAGGGTACCTGGATCCCATCTCCAACTGGGCACCCTAAGACCTGGTTTTTGTTTCCCTGTTCCTTGTCGTCTTAGCTCAAGACAGTCATTTCTCTGAAGACCCAAGAGTAAAAGATGGGCAGTTGGAAAATGGAAAGGTTCAGCCCCATGGAAGAAAAATGTACACTGTGGCAGAAGGATGCTTGAATACTAAGTCTAACATATCCGGTCTGACTAATGCTGACTCCACCTGGGTTCTGTGTGAGCCATGGTACTAGGGGGATGTAAAGCTGATCAAGATACAGCTCCTGACCTCAAGGAACTTGATATTCTGAAAGGGAAACAAGGCAAGAACATGACTTACTTAGATACAATGCCAGAGACATACAAACGAATGAATATGGGAATTCTGTGAAAGGAAAGGTGTGGAGAGAGGGACTGGGCATAGCAGGAAAAATCTGGGAAGCTTCATCCAAGAAGAGTGCTGGGTTCTGAGAACTGGAGATGAGAGAAGGCCATGTTAGGAATAAGGGACAGCATGGCTAGATTCTTGAAAGAGGAAAAAAGAAGGATACAGTTGGTAAGGAGTCCAGTTTGGTCAGAATGTGAGGTATGTACAAACGGAGTAATGGAAGAAGTTATAAAGGTGGGTTGAGTTCAGAGCATAGACCGCCTTCACTGCCAAGCTAAAGAGTTTACATAGATTTTGGTAGGATGAAAAAACGGCCTGAATTAGTGTGGAGCGCGGACTGATACCTGTAATCCCAGCACTTTGGGAGGTCAAGGCAGGCGGACCACTTGAGTCCAGGAGTTTGAGTCCAGCTTGGGCAACATGGCGAGACATCTTCATCTCTACAAGAAAATATAAAAAAAGCTCCAACATCTCTACAAGAAAATAAAAAAATTAGCTGGGTGAGGTTATGCGTGCCTCTAGTCCCAGCTACTAGGGAGGCTGAAGTGAAAGGATTGCTTGAGCCTGGGAGGTCAAGGCTGCAGTGAGCCATGATCACCTCACTCTACTCCAGTCTGGGCAACGAGTGAGAGCCTGTCTTAAAAAAAAAGGGGGGGAAAAAAAAGCCTGAATTCTAAGAGAGGAATAGGGATATAAGGAAAAGAGACAAAGACAAAAGGAGAGGTTGCTTGGGTACCACTGCCAATCCCTCGGAGGGACAGGTCCAACCTGTCTCTGTCCCAACCCCATCTGCATGAAGAGACCCATTGCAGTCTCACCTTCCACGTGCCTGGGGCAGAATGCGAATTGAGAAATCCAAGGCAAATGAGGAACAGTCCATGCCTCCCCCTCCCAGAGCCCCAGGGGTGGGCGACAGGCTCTGAGGATGAGTCAGTGGGGTGGGGACCCCATTTCTGTGCTCATCTGCCTCCTTGGGAATATAAAGAGCAAGCACTGAGGCCCCGCCTCAGAGCACCCCAAACTTGATGCCATGAAGATCCCGGTCCTTCCTGCCGTGGTGCTCCTCTCCCTCCTGGTGCTCCATTCTGCCCAGGGAGCCACCCTGGGTGGTCCTGAGGTGAGCACGTCACCTGCATTTTTATTCTTATACATGTTACCCACCTACCCCTCCATCTCTCTACCTTCTGTCCATTCCTGGATAGGTGGCTCTTAGTTTTGGATTCTGATGGGGGCTGAAGAAGTTGGGGCTCTGTGGAAGGGAGGAGGGAACAGAGCATCCCTGGGGAGACATTTGGGACAGAGATGCTCCTCTTTCTGGAAGGGATGGTGAAGTGTGTGTGGGAGGCTCGTGTACTGAACCCTGGGAGGAGACAGGACTGAGTGGGTCGTCTGGGTTCAGACGATCTCCACCGTGGGCCCTCAGAGTGTTCACCCATTCTGTTCCAGTGCACACATGCCTGGGGATGTGCAGGGGAAGAGGGGGAACTGGAGAACGGCAATGTGAGACAGAGCAGCTCCAAACCCAGGCCTGCGTCCACATGGACAGCAGGTGGAGAGGGTGGAGCAAAGCGAAAAACTAGCTAATGCTGCCTGCAGCTGACTTAACTCTGGGAGGAGTGGGGCTGGGGTGTTCTGGGATACCCCTGCTTAGCCCCTCTTTGCTTTATTTGTGCCCCTGTGAGAGGTGCCCTGGTGACGGGTGGCTCCTTACTGTCTCTGGAGCGCAGACCAAGGTGAGAATCTTTACCATCCGGTCCTCAGCCAGAGAGGAATCCTGATGCCTGCTCTGGATTTAAAAGTCTAAGACAGGGGCACAGGCTCAGCGGCTGACGACCGAGCCAGTGGTGTCACTGAGCCGGGGGACTGTCGGGGCCTCAGGTGAAGGGGGGCTGACTTCCCCAGTCTGAAAGGGCAGCTTTCACACTACCTGACACCATGGAGTGGGAAGACGTGCCTAGAATTTTAAAATTTTTAGGGGAAACTAGAAATCGGGATGAATTTATGAATTCTTACTAATTCAAAATGTCCAATTCAAACCAAAAAACAAACGAGCCAAATTTTTATGAGATCTGAGCATCTGGATCCAGCCTGCGGGTTCCGTGTTTGGCTGTGTCCTGGGGAGGACACGATGGGGCACACTGAGGCCTGGGGTGGGGTCCCCATGGAGGGGGGTAACGGAGCCTCCAACAGTGGTGGCAATAAAACCACAAAGCAAAGCAACCTCGATCAGTGAGAGGCAGGCGGTTCACCTCAGCAGCTGGGCTCCCACCTGCACTGGAATCTTTCCCATCCAGCTATATGGACTGAGCGTGGGTGTCTCCAGAACACCCCACCTCTTAGAATTAAGTTAACTGCAGGACAGCACTAGCTAGTTTTTCCCGAGCGAATGCTCGGCTCCAGGCTTTCTGCCTGCTGCCCATCACGACACCGCTTACATGTACCATTCTCCAATTCCCCCTCCTCACCCTGCACATCCACCAACCATGTGCGCAACTGGAATGGAGACCATGGTGGAGAACAGGCTGCGTTCTTTCGGGGACTGGCCTGTGGATGAAGGCACAGCTGGCAGGCAGGGATGTGGGTGAGGGCCCTGGCGTCACGTGACCACCTGCCTCCTTTTCTCCCTCTCCCTTTCTAGGAAGAAAGCACCATTGAGAATTATGCTTCACGACCCGAGGTAAGCCGTCTGTTTTCCCCGGCCCTCCAGCCGTGAGTCTGTCCTTTCTCTCTTTGTGCTTCTTAGCAACTTTCCTAACACCCTGCTTTTCCGCCTAGGCCTTTAACACCCCGTTCCTGAACATCGACAAGTTGCGATCTGTGAGTATGCTTCTCTGGTGCTGCCCCCGTGAATACCTTCATTACAGAGGGGATACACGCCTTGGTAGAGAGCTTGCAAAGCTGCCACGGTTCCTTCACCTTCTCCAGAGGGCTGGGGGCTAAGCTCTGGCCTCCCCTGGAGCTGACCTGCTTCTGCTGTCCCTCTTCCTCCACAGGCTTTTAAGGCTGATGAGTTCCTGAACTGGCATGCCCTTTTTGAGGTGAGTGCTCGGGCGCCCCTTGCCCTCCTCGGTTGTCTGCAGTCATCCCAGGGTAGTGGCAGCACATTTTGGCTTTAAATGTATGGGTTGGTTCCTGAGCTCTGGGAGGGAGTGACTGCCCTGCCTGGATGCTGCCCAATGTGCTGTCAACCGAAGAAAGCTTCCCCCGGCGTCTGTCCTGGCCACCCGTGTTTTCCTAAGATGGTGGTGGAGGAGCAGAGCCCCAAAGACAATTGCAGAAGAGGAAGAGCCTAATCGGTCAAGATTTTATTTGAATCCCCTCATCCTCTATGGAAAAACTGGGGCCCACCCACACTTAGAAGGCAAAGTCAGTGACAGAGCTGGGGTCCGCGTCTCCTGACTGCACTCACTTCACACGTGGCCTCATGCGAATGCCTTCAGCTCCCTCGGCCTCAGCTTCCTCTGTGATGTGGGGATGACAATCCACCACAAAAGGTTGCTGTAAAAACCCACTGAAATCATGCTTGTAGAGCAGCCCGTGGAAGGCAGACACAGAATAAGGCCTCAGGAAATATTAGCTCTTGATAAAGTAATGACAAAATAATAACATTATTGTTACTATGGTTACTGTGGGAGTTCATTAAGGGAATGCTTACTGATCCATGCCCGGCTGACCCGCAACACAGCACTCTCTTTCTCTTTCTTTCTTTTAGTCTATCAAAAGGAAACTTCCTTTCCTCAACTGGGATGCCTTTCCTAAGGTAAGAGGTGTGGGCATTAGGAGGATATTGGGGGTAAGGGAAGAAGCAGAGGATATGGGAGAGAGAGTGGGGACAGGGAAAGGAGGATCAACCTTCTCACCAAACTGAAGGGAGATCTTAACTACTACATATAGACGAGAACAGGAACTCACATCGAGGCAGAAATTCCTTTCCATCCGTGCCATCCTATACTGGGCACCCAGGGGTTTCCCCATCTAACCCTGACCCCTCTCCCTCCAGCTGAAAGGACTGAGGAGCGCAACTCCTGATGCCCAGTGACCATGACCTCCACTGGGAGAGGGCGTGAGCGTGAGCGCTGATTCTCAACCTACCATAACCCTTTCCTGGCTCAGGAACTCCAATAAAATGTCTTCCATCCAACAGCTCATGTATCTGTGTCTCTGTCCTCCTACTGGGCTTTACAAAGGAGTTAAGATGGGATGGCCCCAAGGCTGGTAGGTAGAAATCTTGACTTCCAAGAGGAGAGTAAGTAGGGAGACAGGAGGAAATAGAAAGGACACACCAAGATGGCAAGAGACCTCCTTGTGTCTTAGCTCCTTAGTGTTGACTGGGATCCTTGAGGAGCATGAAGCTATGGCTTGCTTAGTAAGATGCTCAAGAAATTTCTAAACCAAAAAGTAACTGAGACAGGTCTCATTCTCTTGAGGGGGAGCTCCTGGACCCAGAAAACTGTCCTGTTGGTTTGAGCAATAAAGACAGCTCAAACTAGTGCCAAACACTCATAGATTTGTCAGAGGTCAGGGTCACCTCCACTCAGAGGCCATTCGTTGGTTGCCAATTTGTAACCCCAAAAGTATCTGAAACAGGTCTCAATCAATTTAGAAGTTTATTTTGTCAAGATTAAGGACAATGCCCGGGAGAAAAAATACAGAATCAGAGGAACAGTCTGTGGTCTGTGCCTTTCTCCAAAGATGATTTTGAGAGCTTCAGTATTTAAAGGGGAAAAGCAGGGAAAGAGGGAGGGTATGGTCACATTACTGAATCCACACGTTATAAGAGAAAAGGAGCAGGTAGGGGAATAGTCCATTATATATTTGTCTCATGCTCAGTAAATCCAGCACTTTACATAAGATGTGGTGAACATAGAGTAGCTATCTGTTGAGGTAGTTAACTTTTCACCTTTAGCTATCTGTTTAGGAACAAAAGGAAAGGCAGCTTTTGGCATGTCTCAGTTTTCAGCTGATCTTTTTGCCTTTCGATAGAGTGAATTGGGGTCCCAACTTTTAATTTTCCTTTCACAGATCAAACCTACTCCCTGAACTGTTGGCATTCTCCCCCTACCTACCTTCTGAAAATCTGATTCCCTTTGTAGTGGCGATTTTGTATAACAGAGCTATCTGAAATCCAAGGTTCAGGACCCAGCTTAAATCAAATGAGCCCATCTGAAATCCTTTTTTGGAATTAGGTAGGCTCTAAATAAAGAAAACTAGCAGTGTGACCTCGAGTTTCTTTCTAAGCCTCTGTTTCTTTATCCGTGAAATGAGTATGGGAATAAATAAGAATGATAACCACCATGTGGTGTTGTCATGAAGGTCAAATGAGATAAGTATGTAAAGCCCCTTGCACACAGTCAGGCATATAGTAGATAATGTATTGCTACTCCCCCAGTTTCAACCAGAGAGCTGCCACAATGATCCAGATTCACTCATTCACTCACTCATCCATCCATCCACCCATTCATCCATCCATCCACCCATCCACCCACCCACCCATCCATCCATCCATCCATCCATCCATCCATCCATCCATCCATCCATCCATCCACTGCAAAGATCTTGAAACATGAAATGGATTTAGTTTTATTTCCTGTAGATGTATTTTTCTATGACCCAATTTGTGTACTTAAAATACTAAACTAGTTGGAATTATTTCTGGTTTCTCTTGAAAATTGGGAAAATTAGAGAACAGTGGACCTGTGACTGACTTAAAGCCAAGTAGCAGCTGCCCTCTTTACATAGGACATGGCTTCCAGGGAAGTTTCTACTTGGCAAGCTTCACTTGTTTATATTGCCTTTGGCCTTTATAAGCAACTGAGTTTGTAAACCATGAACTGCAGTTTAATTGAGGAAGTGCACTACAAGGGAAATTAAACTTGGTTCCTACTTTCAAGGTGCTTACAGACCAGGTGAATAAGACATGTAAATGTTCCTGGCCGGGCACAGTGGCTCACACTTGTAATCCCAGCACTTTGGGAGGCCGAGCGGGGTGTATCACTTGAGGTTAGGAGTTTGAGACCAGCCTGGGCAATATGGCGAAACCCCGTATATACTAAAAACACAAAATTAGGTGGGTGGATCACATGAGGTCAGGAGTTCGAGACCAGCCTGGCCAATATGATGAAACCCCATCTCTACTAAAAATACAAAAATGAGCCGGGTGTGGTGGTGTATGTTTGTAATCCCAGCTACTCAGGAGGCTGAGGCACGAGAATTGCTTGAACCCAGGAGGTGGAGGTTGCAGTGAGCCAAAATTGCGCCACTATACTCCAGCCTGGATGACAGAGCAAGACTCTGTCAAAAAAAAAAAAAAGTTGCTTATGCTCTTCCTTCCAATACACACAAAGGAGAGGAAAGCTATAAATGGGATGACTAACAGAGAGGAAAACTATGGACACTGGTGAAATGCCACAATCAAATGAAATACTTAGTGAAGATTGGCCAGGCGCGGTGGCTCAAGCCTGTAATCCCAGCACTTTGGGAGGCCGAGACGGGCGGATCACAAGGTCAGGAAATCGAGACCATCCTGGTTAACATGGTGAAACCCCGTCTCTACTAAAAAATACAAAAAAACTAGCCGGGCGAGGTGGCGGATGCCTGTAGTCCCAGCTACTCGGGAGGCTGAGGCAGGAGAATGGCGTGAACCCAGGAGGCGGAACTGCCAGTGAGCGAGAATCTGGCACTGCACCTCCGAGCCTCAGGCGGACCAGAGTGGAGACTCTGTCTAAAAAAAAAAAAAAAAAAAAAAAAAAAAAGAAATACTTAGTGAAGATTGTGCACTCACAAACCAGGTGATAGGAAAGGGAGTACAGGAAGAAGAGGGGAGGTGCTTAAGGGACACCCATCGAGTGACTAGGTTTTAGGGGAGGAGTAAAGCATCCCCAGGGAACTAGGAGTCATGATACACAAGTTAAGAGTATCTTTGAGATAAGACAGTAGTTCTCAAAGTGTGGTCCCCAGGCTGGCAGCACTAGGATCCCCTGGGAACTGAAAAGAAATGCAAATTCTTGGGCCCCACTCCAGATCTAGTAAATGCGAACCAGGGGTGGGGCCCAGCAATCTGTGTTTTAACAAGCTCTCTAAGCAAGTCTGATTCACTAAAGCCTGAGAACCACTTCAAAAAGGAAAGTCACAGGACTTAAGATTAACCCAGAATCAGGACAGTAGTTGCCCCTTGGACGGAGAGATCCCATGTGATAGGAGAGTGGCACACAGGAGATAAGGGGGGTGAAAGAAGTCACCTCTACATCATGTTTCATTTCTTCTTTAAATACGTACACTTTATACACACTTATGTGTGTTGTATTCCACAATAACGATAACATATGATTAAAGCCAGAGAACACTAGACCAATTTGCAAGTGCTGACAGAATGCAGAGTCAAGAAACAATTGGAGAGAGACTGCAATCTGAACCAAAAAGAAAAAGACAAAGTGAAGTGTAGACAAACTGTGCACGTGAGTGACGGATGTATGCTAGATCATGTGAAATTGACAAAATGCACAAACATGGGTCAGGCCATTCAGAGGATTCAAAGAATGGCAGACACAGCACCTGTGCTCCCCGAGGATGACCTGTGCAGGATGAGGAAGAAGCCAGGGAGTAGTCACTCTTTATTTTATACTTTAGAAAAACAATAACAACAAATACATTTTTTTTTCCTTTTTTTTGAGATGGAGTCTCACTCTGTTGCTCAGGTTGGAGTGCAGTGGTGCAGTCTCGGCTCACTGCAACCTCTGCTTCCCAGGTTCAAACGATTCTCCTGCCTCAGCCTCCTGAGAAGATGGGATTACATCTTCTACACGGGTGCCCGCCACCATGTCTGGCTAATTTTTGTATTTTTAGTAGAGATGGGGTTTTGCCACGTGGGCCAGGCTGGTCTTGAACTCCTGACCTCAGGTGATCCACCTGCATTGGCCTCCCAAAGTGCAGGGATTACAGGTGTGAACCACCATGCCTGGCCAACAAATGCATCTTGTATGGACACTATACCACCTGTTCAACAGGACCTAGAGATACACACTGAGCTATGAAACAATCTCCGAGATAGAGTAAAATGAAAAAAGAAAGTGGCAGATCATTATGCTGCCACGTGGTTAAAATAAAGATATGGTACAAATATATGCTATTATCTGCATATTATCTGCTATTATCTGGAATAAAACTTGAGAAGTAACAGTGATCACTTCTGGAGAGTTAGATACTTTTGCTGTGTACCCCTTTGGATTTTATGAACAAAAATGCTTTACCATGTGAAAATTACATATTTAAAAGAATAAATTAAAAATCAAAACTCTCTAGTAAAGCAAACAAACACCAAAAAACGCTTTGCATTGTAAAGTGGTAGGGCCTAGTCCATGCACTGACCCAGAGTAGGTGCTCTTAACTGAGTGAATGAAACTGATTTCTCACATTTACCACACCCTTTTGCTACTCAGAGTGTGGTCCCCGAGCCAGCGACATCAGCATCACTCGGTGCTTGCTTGCTAGAAATACAGACGCTCTGCTCACCCAGAGCTAATGAATCAGAATTTTAACAAGACCCCTGCCCCAGGATGACTGACATGTGGAATAACGTTTAAGAAACACGGCCTTAGGCATGATGTTGAGTGCTATGCAGAAGGCCTTCAAGAAGTTATGATTCAGTTGATGCTTACGACAAAGGAAGCACACAGGGAGAAGGCACTAGATACCTTAGAATGATATGTTTAAATCTGACAGAAGGGAGGAGATAGTTTTGCACCAGGGTAAGAAAACTAGGGAAAGTAACTTTGAGTCTGGCATTCATAAATTAAGTTTAAAAAAAAAAAAAGTCCCTGTCACTCAGCCAGGACATAAAGGGACTAAAAACCAAAGCCAAACTCACTGATTACCTTGGAAGGCTGCTGGGAATCAACTCATTTTGAAAACTGGTAAATAAGGGAAATGAATAAAAGATTCATCCTCACTTTCCTCTATGAACTATACTTCAGGGTAAACAGTTTCTCTCTCTCTCTCTCTCTCTTTTTTTTTTTTTTTTTTTTGAGACAGGGTCTTGCTCTTTTACCCCGGCTGGAGTGCAGTGGCATAATCTTGGCTGGAGGTAGCCTTCACCTCCCTGGCTCAAGAGATCCTCCTGCCTCAGCCTCCTGAGTAGTTGGAACTAC